ACTATTCTAGTTGGTTGGGAAGGATAATTATCAACTTTTGGGCTGGGGAAAGGAGAAGATGCAGTGTTATTTCTACCCCATCCAGTTACTTGACCTGTCTGAATTGATTTCTTGGTCTGCTCATCAACGTTGTCACCTGTTCCAGCAAATTTTTCTTTGTCAACCGTCTTAGAAGGTCTGAGAACAGTTATACGTTTTGTTTGAGGAGGTAGAGATAAACTCCGCAAATTGTTGAGATGTTGAGAGAATGTTGAATTTGGCTCTTCCAGAAACTTGAGGAATAACTCTCTATTGGAACTCAAAACTTCCAGTGCATCTTGAAATTCCTTGGTCTGGCGAAGCTTTTCATCTGTCACCAGATGTTTCACTTCCATAAATTTCTGACGAACAAGAGCCATTTTATTCTCATTTGCATTATCAACATACCTCCCTTTTTGTTGAGAGCTACCTCTTGAATAGGTGGTTCTTGGGGACCGTTGCCAGATTTCATAAACATCTTTGTATTTGTTCGGCACTTCACAGTGACTTGCTTCACATTGTATTTGATCATCTGGAAAGCTTTGATCTAGATCCCAGATATCACTTGCTACCTCAGAATGACACAAAGAATGTTGAGAAGAACCTTGAAAACGACATCTTGCTGGAGATGAATTATGTTGCTGCCTTGGTAGCACATCAAGTCCCATTAACTTAGCCACCACATTGGGTGGGTTACGCTTCGACTCCACATCTTTTGACATTTCCTGGGCAAGGAGCATCTTCATGGGTGTTACATTGCCTTTCTTGTTTGACAAAGTTCTCCTTAACTCGGATACCATCTGTACACACACCAAAGAACATAAAACAGGTAAGGTTAATTTTTATTATTCAAGTGGAAAATATATTTGGCCAAAAAAAAGGTGGAATATATAGAGACAACTTGTGTACAGAATCTATTTCCAACTTGCTTATAATAATCATTATTGCAGAGACTAAACACCAAATATTTACCGCTTTATCCTCTATTGGATCTCCAAAGGCGGGGCTTAACGTCCTAACAACATCAGATTGACTCCTAGAGTGTGAGGAACCTGCCCATCAACCAGCACTGTGTTAAAATAGCGAAGTAAATATAAACAACCAAAAAGACCGATAAGCGACTCAAGATTCATGCGTACAATTGAATATCAAATTGATTTTCGGGGGAGTGAGAGTTGCAACTTAAAACTTCCAGTGAGCTAACACCAGAAACAAAGAAAGGCAAATAAAAGTAAAGCATCACTAAGACGATCAATCCCACTACCCCAAAGCCAAAATGTTAAAACTTCAAAAACAAAACAAACAAACAAAATATACTAGCTTCTTCAGGGCAAGGAAATCACCATCACGATGTGGCTTAGCAGCAAGCAGGCGGTTTCCAGGAACGCCTGAGTTCAAATCAAACAGGTTTACCATCCTGCCTAGGCATCCTGGAAATTTTTCACTATCCTGACCTTTCCTCTGTTGAATCCCATTCATTTCAACACCTGTTATTCAAACAAATCAAAAGTACCACATTCATTTCCAGGGTTTCTCTCAACATACAAAATGATAATTAAATCAACTAAGAGAAAAGAAAAAAATGTCAAATTCAAGCTACAAATCAGTTATATGAGAGCACAGGCATTCCTGGAAATTTCTCAATATACCTTTTCTTTGCTGAATCCCATTCATTTCAATACCTGTTAACCACACAAATAAAAAGTACCAAATTCATTACCAAGATTTCTTTCCTTAAAATACAATAAGAGAAATAAAAACTACTAAGAGAAATGAGAAATGAAAAAAGAAAAAGAAAATAAATTCAATGACGACTCAAAATTAATCGAAATTGCAGAATAATCCTAATTCTCAACTCCCAACTAACTGAAAATACAATACTCCTATAATTCAAACATGTTCTCTCTACGACTCTACCAATTTCATACCTCGAAAACAATTTAAACACAAAGAAGATGAAGAACCACCCCAAGGGGGCTTGAAAAGCAAAGAAGAAATGGAGAAAAAAGGGAACTTGATTTTGAAGGGATATGATGAATATAAAGTTCAATAAAAAGACGAATCTAATTACTTACAGAGTGAAACATTAAGAAAAATATTCTCTTTTCCTCACATGTTGTATCACATCACACGTCGCTATAACCTCTGAACAAAAGACTGTAAAGTATTCTTTCTTTTCAAGGAGTCAAATTTTTACCCTAATTTGACAGTGATCAAAGTAAGGAATCAACTGCATTCATTGGAAAATGAGAAATAAATATATCATCAAATAAAGGAATTATGTATATCTAAATCAAGTAAAGAGAACGGAACTTTGAGATTCAAAAACTAGAATATGTTGAATCAAAAAGAAAGAAATCTAAAATAAAGTAAATAGCTTAAAAAAGCTGAAACAACTACAGAGTTAAAGAAAAGCAAATCTAGAAACAGAGATTTCAAATTCATTTTGCAGTTACATTTCTGCAGGAGTAATAAAATCTTCTGGGATAAAAAAAGAGATCGGAGAAGAAGAAGAAGAACGCCAGAAACAGTGAAACTAAAAAATACTCCTTATCTCTACCTAGAAACTGACAATGCCAAAGAAACGCTGTCGTTTCCCGTACAAGTAAGAAGCAGAGACCAGAAAGCTAACATCACGTGATATGCGGCCTTAGATTCAATGGAATCTGAGGAATACGGCGGCTCCGTTCCAGTGAAATGCGTGTCTGAAGATAAAAACTTTCAGAGAGACGGGGAGAGGGAGGATTTGGCTTTTTTGAGGTTTAGCTTGTCTTGGTTATGAAGAAAAAAATGCTTTCCTTTTTCTCTCTCCACCGACTCTGAGTTTCTGTGTGTCGGATTCTAAATGGCTTATTTAATTATGATTCATTTATTAGTTTGGATTACAGAAGAAAGGAGAAGATGAGGAAGAAGAAGAAGGCAGAAGGAAGCAGCTGAGAGAGAGTAGCGAAAATTGGGGGTGAGTTGAGTGACTCAGTAGAGAGGTGGGAGCGTGGGGGTAAAGGAGTTGAATATTGTTCCTTTTTAAGTCCCGAAAAGTTAATAATGATGAGTTAATGATTTTTCTTCACGATTTTTCACTTACGTCCTCTGTTTCTTATGTAATTTCGATTTAGCTCCTTACTTTCTCTTAGTCTTTTGTTTTGCCTTCTAAGACAATTTAAGCGTTGTCTCACCTATATTACCTACTTCGTAGTAATAGTTTTGACTTTTTGATGTTTCTTCATAATGTGTAACAGTGTGTTTACACTTGTTTTTTTTAATCATAAAGAAAATCCACTAATTTAACCATAAAAATAATACATAAAACTAAATGATTCAGATCAAATCATTCAACAGAACTTTTATAAAATTGCAAAAATGTATAAAATTTATATTACTTCACATTTTAAACATTTTATCATATAATTTCTAATATTACCATTAACAAAAACCCTAATATTACAGACTCTGCTCTACCTCAACAAAGCCTCCAACCATGGACGAATGAACATGCAAGCTAATGCCAGAGATGATGTAAGTGATTGAAGTTTATATATAATGATTGATTTCTAATGACAACTGGTTGGATATAATATAGGACAAATAAGAAGGATTTTGTACTATTATTAGAAAAGGACAGAGTTAAAAGACATAGTAAACAATTGCCTTTTTAGAGTTGTTGAGATAATTAAAGTACTTAGCGAAACAAACAGTCTAATTTAGGTGATATTCCTTTATCACATCAAATCACGCATAATTTAAAAAAGTGAAGTTTAATTCCCAGTTATCACGGAAAGGAACCCGACAATTTTTCCCCTATAAAATATGTTTTTCCCCAGCCGAGGCAAATGAGAAGTGGAAGAACTTCGGGTTGGAAATATAATAGTGAATAGAGCTTAGACAGAGAATAAAAAAAAAAGAATTAACAATTTATGATTGGTATAAATTTAAAATTTATAGTTACTGAAATTAAATCTAAATGAATTTAATTTTTATTATAGTTGATGCAAATACTAAGAGATTCTAGTAGTCAAGAGATTTCTTATTATTTATTGAGATCTCAGATTTAAGTACTACGTAGGTATGTACATAAACATTTATTGTCAAATCATTAAATAAATATTACATTGAATTCACTCCAGATTTATAAAAAAAATTAGAAAAGAGGAAAGGTTTGAATAGTAGGAGTGGATACGATTCGATTCGATTCAATTTTTATTTTTATTAGTAGCTTACCGATTATAAGTTCGATTAACTTCAAGTAGTGAGATTTTGTATTTTATTTTGACAAAATAAATTTATTTTATGGATTTTAAAGCACTATTAAAATAACCGTGATTTTTTAACTTGCGAACCATTTTTAGAGCCAGTTTTAGATAGGTTTTAAAGCTTTTGTATTAATGGCAGGTAAGTTTGGCAGCCTGGCATGTACAAAGCACCTTTTTTATGGATATTTGGGAAGTGGAAGTAGTGGGTAGTGTACCTTGAAAGATTTTGGGATTTAATGTTTATGTTTTCCATTTTTATTTTACTCTACAGAGTTAATGAGCAAATTACGGGGAACGGAATTTCTAACAAAATTCATACTACTAGTTGCTGCTGTGCCACATTTAATAATATACAAGACTAGCTCAGCTGCTAAGAATTAAGATTCATCAATGCTCTGTCTCTCTTCCCTATTAAGAGTTTGTAAAAGAAAAACAAATTCAGTGCAGTATGTATGACCTGACGATTATATGCTATGCTGAATCAGGTATGACTAAGGAGAATTAGAAATGATCAGAACCTGTTGTATGATTTCATTCTAACTAGTGGAATTCACAACATCAACTATATTTCTATTTTTTTTTAATTTCTAGAATTCTACTCAACATGATGCATTGTTGATACTTGATCCTTACCTCAAAATATATCCCATGTGACGATGTTCAAGCCGCCATTAATAACCATGGGGGTTGGGAAAGCACTGTCAGTCTCAGGCCCAAGTTCTTAGTTTTTGCTCACAGTTCCCCACTGCATGCTTCCGAGCAATCAACAGAAGAAACTGCCACAATTATGGAGCCATATTCCGAGTTTACTCTTATGGTTATCTGCGACCTGCATTTTCTGCGACAGATGAATACGGCCATGCGGTTGGAGCAAGTTTTAACCATGGCAGTGTTTCCTGGGTCACATGTAATTACTAGAAAAGGATACTTCATCAGTTATATTCATGAATTTCATAGTCAGAATATGAGATTTAAGAAAAATGCAACCACCTTCAATACCCTACGATTTTCATGGTATGCAACTATGCATTACTCTAAGACTAATGAAACTCCATCCACCTAAATCTTCAAAAGCCTGTGGACATCTTGAAAAAGCAATTACCACATCAAAGTCATATTTGACTTGATTACGACTAGTCTATCATATGTTCTTTATCCCAAACAGGATTTATCAAGCAAAAAGGGATGCACCTGATCTTTGCACCTGGTCATGGATGTCTAGCATATCTTCATTGCAGTTAATAAGGCTCCTATAATCTGAACCACCCAAGGAACTCTCAGATTCTTATTCACTAGGAAAGTTCAATATAGGATTCCCATTGTACATTAATATCATTGCAAGTAAATGAGCATCACTATTTTCTTAAACCACTTGATTGTAAGATTTCCATGGTACATTAAGAGCAAAGGAAAGCTTGATTTCCAAAACCAGGAGTTTTATTCTCTTCAACCAAAGCATTGTTCATGAAGCCAAGGTGATTTTCAAGAGATGGGAGAATGTCACTAGTCTCACTGCCTTGACATGCAATTTCATAATGATTACAATCTGCAATGAGATTAAGGCACTTCGATGAATGTGATAAGGTCAAAGGAAGATGATGCAAATCTGCAATTTCTTCCTCTGTGTTTAAAATAGATCTCCCAAACTCATATTTGTCGTAACTGGCACTGGTGGGAGACACTAATGCATGAAAATCTCGGGGATAATTTCTTATTACAGGTGCTGAACACAACCCAAGAGCACCAAATGATTCACACCAGTTATTTGGACTTTGCCAATGGTTCAATGAACTTTGTACAGCTGGAATCAAGGTCCAATTTGTATTCGGACATGTAGATGATAAGCTACTTTCATTTACGTCTATAGAATGCCACTCGAGCAGCGGTAATTGTGTCTCTCTTCCAGGAGAAGATTCAACTGGATCTTGTGAATCATCTAAGTTTTTGAAAGAGCTAAATGGAATATTTAGACTTTGCTGATGATCCCATGGACATTGTAATGCAGGAACTACGGTCCACTTTGTATTATGGAAAGTAGCTGATGAGCTCCTTTTATTCATGTTTATAGAATCCCATTCAAGCAGCGGAAATCGTGGCTCTCTTCCAGGAAAAGATCCAATTGGATCATGCAAATCATCAGATTCTTTGAAAGAACTAAATGGTACAAAAGATCCATGTCTCACAAATGGAAAGCCAAAACTGGAGTCACCTTCAATGAAGTTGTTGAGATTTTTCTCTCTTAGTTCAAAGCTAGGTGACTCTAAATTATTTTGAAGGGTGCAGTCATTGTTATATGGTGGAGAGTAGATAGAGTGCATAGTCTCCGTTGAACTGTCTGACCAGTAAGATGATGTACCATATAAGGAATCCCATTCAAGCAGCGGCAACAGATTCTCTCTCGCAGGTAAAGATCCATTTGGGTCAAGCAAATTATCTGGCTCTTTGGAAGAAATAAACGGTAGAAAAGATCCATGTCTCACAAATGGAAAGCCTAAAGTGGAGTCACTGTCAATGAATGAGGTCAGATTTTTCTCTCTTAGTTTGCAGGTAGGTAACTCCAATTTCTTTTGAAGAGCGCTGTGATTGTTATAGATTGTAGAGTCGATATTAGAGATGTTGGTTTCTCTCAATATGTCTGGCCAATAAGATGATGTACCATTTCCCAAGTATGACAGTGTATCTTGAACTTCTAAGTTCTTCCTCGTTGGAAGCCTATCAAGTTTAGTGGAAGGAACAGAAGACCTGGGGCAGGCCAATAACTCAGATTTGGTATTGCTCTCCAACTGTGCAGACTCTGCACTTCTGTAACCCTGCAAGAGCCATTTTTTTTTCTTTTTTTTAATATTGTAATAAGATTAACAGAAGAAATCATATCATGCAAAAAAGTTGCAAGAGCATACATCCTTCTCATTGCTCCTAGGAAAAAGCCGACTAAGCAGCGTTGAAATGACGTCATACCTGAGAGAATATCTAGTCAGTGCATGATATGAATTGCGAAAAAAATGAAATTAACTTTTAAAAATGACAAGTCTAACCCCTTGGTGTGGAGTTTCTCTATCTCAGGAAATGAGTTACAAGCCCATTGAAAAAGTTTGCGTCTCTTTTTAGAAAATAACTCCGTCTGATCAGAATAAGACCCTGAAAGTTGAAATTAATTGATTTCATTCAATGAAATGGTTAATAGTTCTCAGTTTTAGCAAAGGACTAATATCGTTTCAAACAGAAGATGATGCCTTCATGTGTTTTTTCTATTTGCAGAATTGCAGTTTGAAAGTCCAAGGTCAAACCAATAAGCGGCATTCCCTATATCCAGTTTGGTATTGCTTTCATGTGTTTTAGTAAAAAGTATTGTATGAGTATTTGTACCTCCTGGCTTCTTGTTGTCACTATGCTGCTCTAACCAATCTTCTAAGCTGAATATAGGCTCAACAGCCGTAAAGTCATTCTTTAAATTGACGTCTGTCAACAACAAAAGGAATAGTGGTTACTTGCATAACTTTGGCTTCGTGGAGACCATACATGATAAATTTAACATAAGAGTTTCAACTGGATTGATCATGGATAACAAAAGTTGGGAACTTTGGAATGATACCAGGACCATACTTAAAAAAGTGCGAAGATTCAAAATAGAATTATGATTTATGAACAAAACTTTTACATCGTAGACTAATATTTACATTAATAAACTGAAAATACAGCCTTAGACATAAATAGGGTAACAAATGACCAGCCACAATGATAACTACATAACATAAAGATGGCAATCGGTGAAACAAGAGATCAATACAAACAAGAACCAAAGAATCCACTTCACAGTGCGTACCTGAATTACTCACTGCTCTATCAACCAGAGAGGGGAGTGGATCCAAGCTGATATCTGTCACATTGTTAATAGGCAACAGTGATCTTGAGTCCTTAGAGTTGACTTTTTCAATAGACAACAATGATCCCAGCTCAGAGCTAGCCTTTGCGGCAGGCAATGGGGACCTAAAATCCTTAGAGCAATTTCTAGCAATGTTGGTCCCCTCCGAGGACTTAGATATGTTCCTAACTATTCTGGTCGCCTCTTCCCATTAAGAAGGAAATATCATAGTTGTTAAGCGAGAAACAAGGAATTGAATGTACCGAACATAAAGAAGGCGATATCAGTCAATTTCTGTTAAAAGCGAGGGCAATACCTGTCTTAAACCTACCTACTCCTCTACAACATTCGCTGGAATTCAACTTGTGTGTAGGGTTTTTGACCCTCTGCATTGAATGTGAATCAAATCTTTTGCCCGCGTCTTTCTTCAGTTTCTTGAAAAACGCAAACTCGGAAGTTTTAGGGCCATCAGCTGCATATGAACCATAATTAAAACACAATTCTTTAAACGCTTAGCTTAACAGGTACATGTAATAAGGAAAAGGCGAGGTAATCTAACTGAATTCCATTAAAGTAGGCTTTAAGAAGGAAACCATATCCAGGAAAATATTCTCAGTCCAAACAAACAAGAGCAGGTAGAGATCTAAACAGGCGGGGCGAGCTCGGATTTGAGAAAAAACTAGAGCAAGAGTAGTTCAATTTAAACTCGATTTTCGTTTAATAAATGAATAAGTGGGAAACAAATAACAGAAGGAAAAAAACCTCGATTTGATCGGGAATCGGGTAGGTTTACAGGGATCCTAACTTTGGGCTGAGCTGCAGGGGATGAAATTCGAATTGGAGATGGATCTTCGGGATTAATTTCGTGAGATCTTCTCTTCATTTTGATCTAAATCCTTTCATTTGTTATAGGATTTCAGGGATTAGGTAAAATATAAAACCCTAACTTTTACTTGGATGAAGATTGGATTGGTGAACTGAAATCAGTGAGGAACTAATGCCGTTGTTTGAGGGGAGAAAAGAAGTTGAGAAAAAAATATGTAGTTTTGGCGCCTACAAGGCACGTGAGATGGGGTTTGCCATGCACCGAGGCCCCAGGCATGCCTTTCTTTTTCTGGTCCAAATTTGTAAATTAAAAGAACCATTTATTTTGATAATTTTTTAGAAATAAAGAAAACAAATTTTAGGTAACTTTTTACTTATATATTTAACTTATATTTATGTAAAATAAATATCAAGAAATTATGAAAAATATTTTATAAAACTAATAATTTTTGAATGATTTATATTTATTTAATTAACGTAAGACTCATTAAAATCTAAATCAATATTTAAATTGTAAAACATTTTTATATTAGTCCACGTTATAAATTGTTATCTAAAACTATCAATATCAATTCAGTTTGGTCATTTCATTGACGTATACTTTACACTATTTCTTTTAAATAATTTATTTTTGAAGATCATGGGGTTGAATATATAATTTTTTTTAAAAAAATTTATCTTTGAAGGTAAATTATTTTTTTAGAAGGTCACGATTTCAATTTTCATTAACTTTGAAAATGTATTATTATTTTTAATTAATAAAATTCATAACATATTAACAAAAAAATTAAAATAAAATAATATTGATAAATTAATTGATATAAAATATTTCAGAATCTACTTTAAAATGAGAAAGAAACCCATAAATACCTTTTACTCTATATTCATTTTTATTAATTTTAATATTCCCAGTTGATGCGATTTAATCCGGGATACCAATATCAATTCAAGGGGTATTATAGTAAATAAAAGACATTTATCTGTGGCGAAAGGATGACTCGTAATCAGATTATACGGGCAAAAGGAGATATGGTGCACAGGTGGCGGTTCCCTAGTGGAGGAAACGATTCGAGTCGGCATTCTCAAGATGAGATAATTCAGGTAGCCAAAGAAAAATAAGGAAAAACCAATTCATTTAACGCCTCTCAATCTCTCTCTTTGCTTTTTCCCCCCTCAAACATTTCTTCGCCACACCTCTCCTTTACAGAGACATCCGAAGAGTGAAGACATGGCTAGCTGCTCCAGCATGGCATCGGCTGCTTCAGTGTTCTTGCGAACACCCAATGTTCCAAGCTCGGCAGCTTCCAAGACCACCAACATGGTCTTTTACCCTTCAAGAAACAACAAAAACACAAGGCTTGTTGTGAGGGCGGCTGGGGCGGAGGCTTCACCGCCGTCTCCAGCCCCAGCAACCACCACTGCACCACCCGAAGGTGGCGAAGCCCCGAAGCCTAAGCCACCTCCAATTGGACCAAAAAGAGGCACCAAGGTTAGCACTTAGTTACCTCCAGACAGACGGTCTGATAGCTTAAACACAATATATCAATCATTATAAAAATATATAATTTATCTTTATTTTGAATCATCTTGAGGTTGGAGTTAAATCGAGTTTTGCACTTTGTTTTATGTTTTAAATAAAAAAAAGTTCCATGAAATGGTTTTTGATGCCATAGGTGAAGATTCTAAGGAAGGAGTCGTACTGGTACAACAGCTACGGTTCAGTTGTTACAGTTGACCAGGTCACTCTTTTTTATCTCTATGCTCTTTCTTCCTACTAAATTACGGTAACGTATGAGGATTGTCGTAGTCTTGATTTATTCTTTATAATATTTTTAAATTATGGATTTCGTTGCGATGTTAACCTTAAAATTCATTACGATGTCACATTGTATTATGTTACTGTTGTAATTGAATACTATGTCTTGAAACGATTGTTTTTGATTGCAGGATCCCAAGACTCGGTACCCAGTTGTGGTTCGATTCAACAAAGTGAATTACGCCAATGTATCTACCAATAACTACGCACTGGATGAGATTGCAGAAGTTAAATGAGTCACTGTTGCATTTTGTAATATCTTTAGTTTTCAGTGATTTATGTGTATGCTCAGACTCCCCCACCCCCTCTTTCTCTCCAGCTTTGAACTTGTTTCTACCGTAAACGTCGTGTAGAATATTATCATCTTCTCTCTCTCTCTCTCTCTCTTTTCTTTTCTTCTTTTCCCACATTCAAAAGTTCGCCTGACAACTTCCGGTTTGTTCCACGGTACATACCCTTGGAGATGTGCCGGATTTGCAGACATGAATCTTTTAAGGAAAGAGATAAATTTGGATAATATGACTTGCAGCCATCAAATAAAAACGATTACCGTGGTTAAGAAAAGCTGTAAAACTGAATATAAACCCTAAAAAGCTACTGCCGGACTCATCTCAAGTGTTTGCAAATCTTTGATGCTAAAAACATGTTGCAACGTGCAACGGTATTCTTGCTCGGATCAATTTTTATGCTTAAAATAGATTAAAACACCTATCCGATTTGTTTTATTATCATAATAGCTGAGCCCCCTCCAAATAACAGAACTGTTTTTTCAATAATGATCAAGATTTCCAGACAAGAACTTTCAACTTTCATGCATGAATCACATGACAAAGAGGCTCATGGCATAACATGAGATGACCATAGCTACTTTACTCAGCAAGCTACCGTATGCAATATAACTCAGATCCTGGTGGACTGTTCATATGCAAACAAGAACCCTGTTTCTTTCTGCTTTTGGTATAGTTTTACGAGAAGGAAACTGTTCCTGTCGATGATCGGTGTTGTAACAACTAGAGACGGTAATAAGAGGCAAAGATGATAACATTCAGACCATACTGCACACTATTTCATTATTTTAGCAAGAAGAATTCATTGTATCCTTTTTCCATCTCATTGCTTGTCTAACATAAACTATATTTCTCAACAAGAAATTAAACCCGAATCCTATTAACTGTCATTGTAAGAAAACTATAGAAAAATGTGAACCCTATAGACTTGAATCAAAGTATATGGAAGGCAAACTAACCTTCCTTTCAAAGAACTCTTCCATCCATTCCATCAAGACGACCTGACCATAGTCCCTTTACCGGTGGCAACTGAGCTACAAAAGCACTCCAAGGAGGGTAACCGACTCCACTTCCACGCACACGACCATCCAAGCGCAGAGATAAATAGCTGCATAATGAAACACCTTACAAGTAAATTTCACTAGCACCGGGATTTCTATAGACGGTTTTCTAAGCATTTCTTCTTCATTTGGAAGGTCTGAGAAGGCATGTCTCGTTATATTCGGGTATCATCGAATGAAAAGAAGATGGTAAGGTGGAGGAACTCTTACACAGGAGATTAAGGAGAAACACCAGCCAACTTCTTTTGTTCATTCAACCATCTGTATATAAAGTTTAAACAAATATATATCAGATAAGACAGAGAACATGAGAACTACAAAAAAAAAATGATCATTGCATTGCTCGGAAGTCAGAACATAATCTTACTCTCTCCACTCGGAAACATAAACTGGGGTCAGCTGCCAAAGCCTCTTTCTTTTTGCAGTGATCTCTTTATGTCTTCGCTCTCATCAAGTCGAGACTAGGTGAATTCCCATCCGTAGCGAAAGTAACCACCAGCACCCCTCTTTCCAGAAGCCTCTCAGTGAATGGCTCACTAAGTTTAAACGACTCTAGGATGAACGACGTGGGGCCGGAACATATTACAAGACTAGCAATTCCTCTCAAACTGCTAACCGGAATGATCATATTTTCATTCACTCGGAGCTTAAGATTCGAAAGGCTTTCTTCTCTCAATAGTCTGGCTAGTTGTGCGTTCTTGGCAGTGTTCTCCCTGAAATAAAGAAATGCAAAGATAGATACCGTTTCAATGTCAATGCCAAGACTTGTTAAAGTGTCGGGGATTTCAGATGATCATACAGGATTGGTTAGGGAAGCAATTAACTGTGTGGTGGCTATTAATCCTCCCAAGGCACTGCTTGCGATGAATGCAAGGCAAAAGAACATTCGCAAGGACCGAAAGGAAGATAGAACTTCACTCCTTATCCTGGCATCAGAACTAAGAACAAAATTCAAAAGAAGTTATTAACAAGCCTCAATTTCAAAACAAAACCTGATAATCATAAGCATTTAATAACAAGAAATCAAATCAGAAAAAACCACTCAAAAAACTCCATCATATCATTTTAATCCATCCAAATCCTTTGGACTCACAATTTATGCACCATAAGTATAAAATTCTCAGCTTCAACCGAGGTGTAAAAGTTTGCATCAATGACTAGTTTACATCAGCAAAAAGGATCTTCAAACCCCATATATATGAACACAAAATCAGAAGATTTTTTTTTAAAAAAATAAGATTAATGAGAGAGAACTGAGAAGAGTACCTAATTTCTGAGGAGGATGAGGGCTTATTAGCTGCTGAACAAACTAAGGAAGAAGACAGCAATGGGGGCTTTGCAGGAGATCTTGCACTGATAGAAGAGAGTGCGTTCTTTCTATAGATGGGGTTTTGGAAGCAAAGTCCGAAACTACTGTACTTTAATCTAAGGTTTGAGGGACCAACAATATAACAAAACAGTTCCATGGAAGCCATGGCCGGAGAGTTACCTGGAACTTAATACGTGGTAGCCCTTTGTACTTCGACAGCAAACCTCAAATAGAACGATCTGCTTGCTCAAATAGTGGTGATCGGCGGTTGTAAACGCTTTTAGCGGTGAACTGTCTATTCTTTTCCCACTTCCACCCCGGAATGTCCGATCCACCAACTGGATGAGGTGGTTTTGTCGCTGAAATGCTTAACAGAACCAAGGGAGGTAGAGCGTCCCGAAACAGATTCCAATTCCATTCGCCAGTAAAGTCTACCATATCGCCCATCTTCGCCCATTCGAAAGCGGTACCCCCATTAACTAAGATATGGTCCCTTGTAGGGCTAAATTTTTATATTAAACAATGAAATTGAATTTTATTTATAATAGTCTTTTATAGTATTTAATCTGATTTAATTGATCAATAAATCTAATATCAAAGCTAAAAGTATCAAAAATTGACTGGTCAAAGAAGACATTTAAAGCTTATTTAAGAACTCCAAATAAGATTTTAATGGGACGTGCATTTGACTAATTGTTTCCTTTTGTTTTAAAAAAAATACTCTTTTACAAGTTACAACACTTTGTAATCGGTAAATTTACTATACAGCTCCTTACAATATAACATGATGTATTTTAGTTTTTACAGTTTAAAATAAAATAAAAGTTCTTTCGTTAGAAAAAGAGAGAACAGTAAAATGATTAATTTTTGTAATAATTTAAAATATAAGAACCAAACTACACTTTATTCTATGATACGGGAACTTGTAGGGTAATTTTACCCTTTTTAACCACTTCTTCCTAAATCATCCATTGCACATGTATCAACTGTGTTCCCCCCCCCCCTCTGAAATATAACCTCAACAAAAGTTTATGGAAAAAGGGAAATCCTAGGGAGAAAGAAGAAGGAAAACAATTTGTACTAGTAATTAACGTAAATGAATATGAAAGAATGAGGGGAAATCAGAGATCAGTGAAGACAAAGACTGATTTACTTCGAGGATGAAGAAGAAGCAGGAGGTGGTGAAGAAGACTCGAATTTGTAGTGTTTATCAACGGCAACGGCGACATCCCATGTGCAACTGAGACCTTTAGGGATAACAACAAGATCTCCGGCACCAAACTCCACAAACTCCGATGAACCTTTTGGATATGCCTTCACTTTCCCTTTCAGCAAATAACAAGTTTCCTCTGCATCAAACTTCAGCTGGTATTTCCCAGGTGAGCAACCCCATCTGTGAAATCATAACATATCTAAATATCAATCAAGAAGAAGACGAATTGAATCATAGGACGTGAGAGCTTACTTGGGCCAACACTTGATGTTAAGCTCTGAGAGCTTAGACTCTGAAGGATTTCTTTCCACGACAATTCTCAGGTTATTTCCAGCCATTGAAGATTTTTTTTTAATATGAATGAAATTAGAGAGGTATTCCAGATTTAAGCTTTGGTATGACCCATAGGTGTATATATAGGGAAACAGGCAAAGCAAAACAGAGGGTTTTTGGTTTTGGTTTAGGGTAAGCAGAACAGAGGATGGTCTTGGCTGTGCTAATGAAAAATATTGGTTTTAGTGGAAAAAATGGAAAAGCAGTGGCAGCCGGCAGGAGATTACCTTGGTCAAAGGTTGACTGTGGTAAATGACAAGGTGAAACGTGGCATCAGACAATTCGATAGAAAAATGCTGTTTGACCAAAGGGTATCATGGTCTTGAAGATACAGACGCAGCTTTGACTGCATGGTGCATGCTCCTCAGTTTTTTTTAGCTAAAATAGGAAAGTTTTGCTTAATTAATTTTTTTAATTTAAGAAAAATATATATTTAATGTAAAAAAATCATATGATATTGAATGGTTGCTGGATTGCTGCATAATAAATTGTTTTGATATTTTAATATTTAAGTTATTAATTTTATAAATTTTAGTTAAAAACAATGTACTGATTTAAAATTTCCAAAATAATGTTTGATCAGTCACAGCTTTATTTTATTTTACGTTGGATCCATCTCTGACGTGTTCTATTCGTTATCCTCTTCATCGGACACTGCCAATGTCGCACGTGCAATACCACTACCACATGCTCATATTATCTAACAAAACTGCCTGTCGATGTACTCTCTTTTGACAATTGACATATATATTATAAATGTGTATTTTTTTAATTCATAATATATATATATATATATATATAAGTTAAAAGCCTAAAAGGTAATTTTTTAATATAGGGAAATGTATTTTATGATTTATTATATTTATTGAAAATTTTATTAATTAGATAAAATATAATATTATTGAAATATATATTATATTTATATTATAGTAAATTGACTATTTTATACTGATTATCATTTAATTAAGATTACTTTTGGATAAAGTTATAAGCCGTGTCTTGCTTTTGTTGGCATTTCATGGCATATTAATCGATCAATGTGAAACGCAAAAGATGTTATATGGGCAATGAAAGTCGATGTGTTTTGGATAAAGAATACTGAACACGTTCTACATTGTGGACGGAGTTCGCACCTCTTTTATTAAAAAACTTAATTTCTGTCTAACTTAGAGAAAATGGATGGTGAGATATACTTTTTGCTATTATATTTTGAGAATTGTACTCTGAAGAACTGCTTTCATTTTGGGTACGGACTTTGCACAGATTTAGTGTCCTTATTGGAAGTCTATCCTTGTAAGAGGAAATTATGGGAGGTACACGAGGATGGAGTTAGCAGCAAGGAACTTGAGGTTTTTAATGAAGCTCTCGACCATATTAAGAGACTAGGATTCCACAGTTTTCGCATTGAGATGGATGGCGCTAAAGCAGTTCGGGTGGTGCATGAGGCTTCAAATGCGCTGCACGATCATGTTCTTGTGGATGCAGTTCGGCTTCTTCAAACGGAGGTCTGTATCTGACAAATCTCTTGTAAGTAATATCAGATAACAGATGTTGTGACGAAGTTGTATCTAAGGCAACCTTTTAAGAGATGCTATTTAATGTTCTCTCAAATTAAAATGCTTAAACTATTTATAATCCTTGCAACACTTAAATTAAAGATAATTATATTTAAATACATTTGAGTTTACTATTTTTAAATATTATTATAATAATAGTAACATTTTTTATATAGAAAGCAGCCATTTTTATTGAAAATAGAAAATATCTAGAATTAGGACTGTTTAAAAATGCAAGATATAAACCAGAGGTGGGTATACGGGCTACCCGCCCGTTTAGCCCGCGGGTTTTGACGGTACGGGCTAAAAAGCCCGCATTCATAAAAGGTTTTGAATTTTAAGGCCCGCGGCCTGTCCATTTAACCCGCGGGCTAAACGGGCTTACCCGCGGCCCGTTTAATAAAACTAATTTTAAATACTTTAAATACAATAAAAAAATAATGTTTTAACTTACTACACCTTTAAAAATGATCGAGCAACTTGAAAAGGAAGGTAGCACTGTCAAAATAATAAATAATATTTAAATTTTATTTTAAATAGCCGGAAATGATTATAAAATATTATTTTTTTAATTTTTTAATCATTAATATATATATATATATAATGATATAATTACTTAAACTCAAATTAAAAAAACAATATTCACTTATATCACCAAATTGAAAAACAAATAAAACAATAACCACATTATACTTTTATAAAACACGATTATTCAAGGCTATAATATGAATACACAAAAGTGTCTGAAAGTAGAAATTCAAACATAAAAATTTAACAAAGTCAAACATTATACAAATCTAACAAGAAAGTTGTCAAGTGTTTCTAATAATTGTATTTTATGGATACTTTAGAGAAATACTAAAACATAATATGAAAATATAAAATAAAATACTTACAGTATAAGAGTAAATTTGAAAGATACAATTATACTAAAATTGATAAAAATATAAGTCATTAATTTGTTAAAATATATTTATTTTGTAAAAGTCTTTAAAAGTTGAAAAGTATGTTTTCAATTTTTTATTTTACTTTTCTTTCTTATTTTTAATCCAAATATTACGTGTCATGTGATATATTATTAGAATATCACGTGACTTTTTATAATTAAAGAACAAAATGGATAACATACTTCATGAAAAAAAATAAAGGTCAAAATTAAATAAAAAAACTTTAAATACCAAAATGATAATGATGTATATTTAAATGAAAAAAATATCAAGCAACGGTAAAATTATGACAAACGCCCTAATAAATTTAAGAACTACAATAGTTATAAGTAACATCATATTTATAAGTAATTTATTTTCTTTTTCTATAAAATTCTTTAAGTTTATTCTCTCTAAAATTTTATAAATTTTAAATTAAGCGGGCTTTAGCGGGTTTAACGGGTAGCCCGCGGTTATACCCATTAAACCCGCGGGTTTAACGGTCCGGGCTAAAAAGCCCACAATTTAAACGGTCTTCAATTTTTGAGGCCCGAAGCACGTACGGGTCGCGGGTTAAACGGGTAGCCCGCTGGCCTTAGCTCATATACCCAGCTCTAATATAAACTACATGATCTGTTGACCTATAGACCCAGTTAAAAAATATCAAATATTTATAATGAAAAATATAAACTACATGATCTGTTGACCTATAGACCCAGTTAAAAAATATCAAATATTTATAATGAAAATACATGGTTTTCTGGGTTGGATACTTGATCCGTTATTTTTCTTGAATTTCCAGGTCGTGTTCTGGTCATAAGATATCCTTTAACCGAGCATATATATATATATATATATATATATATATATATATATATATATATATATTATTTTTATATTAGATTTTTTATTCATAATTCTTAAATTATTTCACTCTAACATTTCAAATTCCTAATTTCTTAAATCATTTCACTATAACATTTTAAATTATTAATTTTTTAAATTATTTCACTCTACCGATCTAAATTATTTCTTTTAACTTCAAATATTTTAAACTTAATTGTATTTTAATAAATTTTATCTTTTAATTATAAAATTTAAATTTTTAAATTTTATAAGTAGATTATGTATTATATACCTTTAAATTTTAAATTGACATAATTTCAAAAGTAGATCCCAACGTTTAATAAAATGGTCATTTTGGCCCTTATTCTTTTTTTTGAAGCATTTTGGCCCCAATGTTTTACTTTGGGAGAAAAAGCTTCATCTATAGATGAAAACTATTAGTTAACACACGATTAACGCTCTAAAATATGAGCATTTTTAACCTAAAATCAAACTTTGAGGGCTAAAATGCCAAAAAAAAAAAGAATAAGGGACAAAATGATTATTCTGTCAAATATTATGGTCGTTTTTACCCTAAAATGAAACATTATGATCCAAAATGCTTCAAAAAATAGAATACGGGACAAAATGATCATTTTAATAAACGTTGGGGGTTATTTTTTGGCATTATACCTTTTAAATTTTATAATTTTTATATGTATTTTTTAAATATATATAATTTAAAGGGAAAAATAGAAGAAAAAAATATGAACCAAGTACCCGTGACCCAAAAAATGTTGGTATTCGGGTTTTATGAATATATGGATTTAACAGCCCAGGAAACGGGTCGGTATTTTGGTACCCAAAAATCTCGGATATCTAATATTTCGGATACTCGATTTTAAACACCCCTATCTAGAACTACAATAAAGGTTTATAATCATAATCGTAAATTGAATCACATAATTATGACATTTTCTTGTAACAATTTACACAAAAAACTAACAACTTGAGATCATACAATGACCATACGAAGAAAAGATTAAAAACTCAATGAAAAACTCAAATAAAATATAGATACGAATAAATCTGATTGCATTGATAAAAGAACCACAAAAGATTATCAAATTATTGAAAGATCATTAACAAACCGCAAATCAAAGTCGAGCAACGTGAAAAAATTATCCACGAATGCAACCGCGTATCAAAATTCAATCAGAGAATCCAAAGTAAGGAAGATCAACATAATAACAAATAAACAATATTATTATCAGTCAAGGAGATATCAAATCCAATCCTAAAAAAATGAATAAAAATTACAACAAAAAGATCGAAAACATATCAAAAAGATAAAAGAAAAGTTGACAAAACAAAAACATAATTATTAAAATCTAAAAAAACAAAAGAGAAGTATAGATCAAATATACAAAGTAAAAAGATATAAATACAAACAATCGACTATTAACACTAAAATAATTTTGTATTTTCTATAATAATAATAATAAAAAAATTAATATTCAATCTACTTATATAATATATGTTTTTCATTACAATTTTAAATAAAAAGGAGTTACATTCAAAATTTCAACTTTATCATAAATTATCTAAAGATTATTACAAAATATATTCTCCATAAGGGTGGGGATGCAGCATGTGACAATGTGAACACGACAGCTAGGAATCCATGTTAGGCGTTACAAAACAATTTATCTGGGTCGATATTTTTATTGTTTGAACGGATCATGTACCAATGAGCGTGGGATTTCTTTTGGAAAATAATTTTGTGTAGTATATTTTTTTATCTTATTTTTATAAGTTTTATAATGGGTGAATTCACGAGATAATGTTCTCGATTTTTTTTTTCACGATATGGTGCACATCCCAGATTAATTGCTGGAATGGGGTGAATTCAACAGTGGTCTTGGAGGTCGCCATGGCATCCGGGCGACCTTGGAGGTCGCCATGGCATCCGAGCGACCTTGGAGGTCGCCATGGCATCCGGGCGACCTGTGTGTATTACAGAATAGGGCCATGCAATCAACATGGGACATGCAATCAACATGGGACGTGGGAATGCATGGGGGAGGGGATGCATGCAATCAACATGGGACGTGGGAATGCATGGGGGAGGGGATGCATGGGGTGGGAATGCATGGGGGAGGGATCAACATGGGATGTGGGAATGCATGGGGGAGGGGATGGTGCATTGGACGTGGGAATGCATGGGGTGGGAATGCATGGGGGAGGGGATGGTGCATTGGACGTGGGAACTGTGCATGGATATGCACGGCGAACTGTAGGTCACGGTGGTCGCCATGGAGTCTCGGCGACCAAGGTCCTGCTGCATGCGTTGCATCATAGCTCATAGCTTGCATGCATGCGTTGCATCATAGCTCATAGCTCAGAGATTCCTGCACCCGTACCTGTATGTGTTGCATCTATATTACGTTATTGCAGCGTTAATTTAGCTGTGAGCCTTTCAATGCTCAATAGTTAACGCTCAGTTGTTTTATAAAAGGATATGGGGTATAGGGTAGAAGCACAAGCAGAACCAGCACATATAAATTTTGCCGAGAGAAATAAAAGGAAGAAGAAGAAAAGAAGATAAAGGCTCAAACATAGTTGAGGTAATTTTTTTATTGTTTAATTTAGTTTATTATATGAAATTATTAGTTTGTTAGTTTCGGGTGCAACTTAAAACTAAAATCTAGTTAATTAGTTTGTTAGTATAAATTATTAGTTTGTAAGTTTAAGTTATATATTAGTTTATTAGTTTAAGTTATATTATATTATATAAAAAATTAGTTAATTAGTTTCTTAGTTTAAGTTATTAAATATAAAAATATTAATTAATTTGTTAGTGTCTTTAAACGTATATTAGGTTGTTCGTTGAAGTTGAAGTTATATTATAATAAAATTAATTAGTGCTTAATTAGTTTGTTATTTTAACTAAGTTATATTATAATAAAGAAATAGTTTATTACTTTAAGGTATATTATAATATATTAGATTATATAAAATTAATTGTGGGAGCTATTGTTGTTTAAATAAATATTTTGTTTACACATACATGACATTATTTTACAATATTTGCCCACGTACAGATTGATTCGAAGAAAGAAACAAGGCAGGAAAAGAAAGTAAAGGAAGAAGGCATAAAGACGTGAGTAATTTATTATTTTTTGTTGTCCATTTTTTGTTGTTGTGTATGTGTAAATTAGTTAGTTAGTAAGTTTATATTAGATTTATATAAACTAATTTGTGCGAGATAATTTCCGTTTTAAAAAATATTGTGTTTAAAATATTTAGTGTTGTTTTAAAAATATTTGTTTAATTTACATTGTATGTGTATTAGTAAGAAGTAAAAATTAATTGAATGAAATAATCCGGACAACGCATTATCTCGCGAAATAATTATTTTGAGAACATTATCTCGACAGTTTTGCCTAACAAATTTGTTTGATATTTTTAAAAAAAAAATATTATCAAACTAATCATTATTATTAGTAATAATTACTAAATGATTAGTATCAAATCTAAATCATTAAATATTTATAATAAATAATTATTAGTGATTATGACTAAATCATATTATTATTAAATCATTAAATATCAAATCATTAGATTAATAGTAATTATCAAATCATTATTAGGTTTATTAGTAAGCAATCAATCAAGTTAATAATAACTTTTATTTGATCATTAATATAATAGTATATTATATTATTTTAATAATTTATGAAATTATCTTATCTAATTTTTAATCTAAATTAATTTATTTTTTATTTGTAGAGAAAATGAGCAACAACTTTTTCACGATTGTCCATTATAATGGACAGATTATGGAAAATGAGGTCGGAGTTGTTTCAGTCTGAAAAACCAATAAATATGATGTTCAAAAAAGACATCACATTTATAGAAATGAAGCATAAGATAGAAAGAAAATTCGAGTTGCAGTGGATGGTTTGAGGTATAGGTTTATGATATGCTCTAACCCAGTCAGATATGCTGCAGTTCCACTTGAAGAAGATGATGATATTGGAACCATGGTTGGATTACATGAGTCAACCAATATAGCAGTTATTGAATTATTTGTTGATGTGCGTAACATATGTGATGTTCCTGGGTCATCAAGAGGTGTGGCTCAAAATCCATCTGAAATGGCTTTATATAGTCAGTTTGAGGAGCCGACATACAGGTTCCCGAACAGTTTTATGGCACTATTGGAAAGTGTAAATGAAGTCGGGGGGACATCTATAGCAGCAGAGTATGAGACGAGAAACATACCGGAATTGGTTGTTGATATTGACGCTGAAAATCGATGGGGAGAAATTCATGATGATTCAAGCGAAGATGAAGAAACTGAAGAACCCGTTTTGGGCGGCGACGAAAATATTTTTGGTGGAGGTGCAATTGATGAAGTTCCGACACCGTATGAAGCTACTCCTCACATGTACGAGATAGATTATGATGCAATGAGGGCACCTGAATTCCCAGACATGCCACATTTACCTCCGTACCAAATGACTGAATCATTCGATAATTCTGGTGAATTTTCAGTTGGGGTGCAATTCAGAGGAAAAAATGAAGCTACGCTGGCTATTAAAGAGTACTGCATCAAATGCCATGTTGATGTCCATGTTGCAGAGTCCAACCAGAAAACCCTATACGCAAAGTGTGTAAAATATGGCCCAGAGTGCAAGTGGAAGATCAGAGTGTCGAAAAATCAAAGGCACGATGTTTGGGTCATCACGAGGTACAATGGTTCGCACACATGTTTGCGAAACTCCATCGAACAAGACCACCGACTATTGGACTCCGATGTAATATGTGAATACGTGAAGGCGATGGTTGAAAAGGATCCAAGGATATCTTGTTCAGTGTTAGCTGCATCTATTCGAAGCCAATTTGGATATCAAGTAAAATATGGCAAGGTGTGGAATGCGAAAATGAAGGCAATGAAGTTGACGTATGGAGATTGGGATACATCGTACAATGAGCTACCACATTTGCTACAAGCAATGAAGCGATTTATCCCAGGAACTATAGTGAAGTCTCAAACCATGC